TTTAGAAAATTATATTTCATATTACGGATAGATTAAATAATAACGGAATGCATAATATAATATTATTGCTAGATTCGTTAAACCGTAATAAAAAAATAACAGACTATACTACGCCAATAGTTCTGTTTAAATTTTACAGCTTATCAAATTATTAAGCTATTTAATGCTGCAAACAAGCAGCTTTCGTGTGCCGTCTTTACTGACAATTCGTCATTTATCAACACTTTAATGTGAACAAGCTGTTAGCTTCCATTTAGGGATGGATGAAATTTAGTTTAAAGACCGGCAATCATTATTTAACAGAGGAGAAACATTTGCTCCCCGTGAATTCTTTCCTTCCGGGTGAGGTGGGTCGGTTTCTTTAAGGGAACGGGTGAAGCAAACCACGGGGGAGAACATACGATTTTCCCGCAGGCAAGTTGGAAAAACCTGCTATCGAAATGACTTTGCTCAGCTGCAGCCAGCTCAACGTCTTACCCTTAAAACCTCCCTCAAGAGAGCCCGCTATAACCCTGCCCGTTTGGCAGGTTTCCCTATCTCCAATCGGCGACATTATTTGGCGAGATTTTAGAGTTCCTTTTTTTCCGTTCCTTATTTTCCGAGTGACATTTTTTCCGTTCCTTATTTTCCAGGGACATTCTTTCCGTTTCCCTTTTTTCCGGGTGACATTTTTTCCGCACACCATTCTTGAAGTTCCATTTCAAACTGTGATTCGGAATATGAACTTTTATGTCTCAAGAAGAACTGACTGATGACGATTACCAAAACGATTATCCCATTTTAAGGAATATTCCAAATATAGGACTAATAAATATTCCGTTAGACTATGTCCCTTGTGTGCTTAGGAGTAGTACAAAAAATGATTACTATTAGGATAGGCGGAGGCACCTTACAAGCACGATTACCACATAAAAATGTTGAAGTATGTTTTTTTTAAATGACCAGTTTTTAAAGCCTTATGTACCAATTGAATTTGCAAGAAAACCAAGGAACCAACTCTAAAAGAATTGAAACACTGGAAAGCTACAGAATACCGTCAATTTTTACTGTACACTAGTCCACTACTTATTTATTATTTTTTTTTAATTTAACAAAAAGCTACATGATCATTTTTTACTATTTCATATTTCGATTAGACTCTTATGCAAAATACAGAATCAGACCGCAATTGATGAATACGCACAGTCTCTATTAAAACTCTTCGTAGTAAATTTTGGGCTTTATTATGAAAAACAGTATATTGCTCATAATGTTCACGGCCTACTGCATATTTGGGAAGATGTAAAAATGTTTGGGCCGTTAGATCATTACAGTGCATTTAAATTTGAAAGCTGTATATCTTCTATAAAAAATTGATTAGAAAATCTTCCGCTCCATTACAGCAAATAGCAAGACGAACTCATTAACTGTTTAATCATATTGTAGCCATGAATAATGATTCAATCAACGTAACCGTTGAATTTCAAAATTTACACACATCTGGTCCACTACTTAAAGGTTATTAAATGCTTAATTTTATTATTGAATTTTGAATACAAATTAACTGAAGTCAGAACTGAATTTGTAGAATAATTTAATTATGAATATATCGAAGAATTCAGTTTTGGGCTATTGAATGGTTAAAAATGATCGAAAGATTTTTAATATTTTAAAGCAAAATTTTCTCTTATAATATTTTGTATTAATAATTCATTTCAAGTCTCTTCAAGTCATTCAAGGATATCCCGGGATGTGACATTAAGCACTCGGGAGGAGGTGTTTAGGAGGTTCACGGGATATTCCGGGATCTTCTGAGGATGTGCGCATATCCCGCGAGCAACATCCTCGGGATATCCCAAGGATGTTTTTGTGCTATGTGGGTCATAATTGCTGCTTTCGTTTTCGATGTTTATTTTACATCTATTTAATTTATTTGATTACTTGGACAATTTTCTGATCACGATTTTCCTATGTTTGTAAATAAAAGACAGAAAAGCATTTTCGGGGAAATAGATGTTTTATATGTCATTTCTCCCACCTTCTTAGCGAACCTTCGTGGTGTAGTAGTCTGCACGCTCAGCGCGTAGTTGAGAGGTCTGCGGTTCGATTCCCGGCGAAGACGTTGCTAATTTTTAGTCTTACCTGCTTAAAAAAATACCTAATGTCTCTACAGTTTGACTACATTTCTGCAAACTGTAGAGACATGTAGTAGTATGTATAAAACTATAAAAAATCAACTTTATAATCATGTGTTTCAGTCCTAGCAAGGACATTCATTAGTAATAAATCATTTTCAGTTTTATAAGATATTTAATTTTTCTGAAGAATAAGTTCCCAAAGTTACGGCCACTTCTTTTAATAAAGTTATAACTCAATCGAAAGAAATATGCGGTGGTAGAGGATTAAGTAATATACGAATTTTAAACCCTCCGCGTTCCATTCTTTTAACTTTATTTATGACATAATTGCATTCATTTCCTATGACATTCGTTTGGCTATTTTTTCGTGAGATAGTGGGGATAAAATTAAGCTTTCAATGATATTATTAAAAATGTTCTCACTTATTATTTGAATAACAAAATTTAATTAGCTTAATTAAAACTGGAATTTAATTGAATGATTTTTTACATTACAATTGACAATTAAATTTTTATTGCAACATTTCTGCAATAATGAGAAAAAAAAGTATTTTTTACGTTTCGTTGGTGCTTTTTGTGAAGTCATTCTCAATAATTTTTGAAAAGATTTACTTGTATTTAACATTCTAGAAGAAGCATGGTGAGATTAATTTATTTTCTTAAATTTAACTATTTTAGTACATTCTTAATTTTTATAAAATTCTTGTCGAAACTTAAAATTATAGCTTAAGCGTAAAAAGAATCAGTTTTTTGGTAGTGAAATTTAATTTTCCATAAAAGTAAATCCTTGATTTTTGTTAAAGCTGAAACATGTATATTTTACCAATAACTGCATTTTTATACCCATAATCATATTTCTTTATCAACCATTCTTCTTAAATTACTTTTAAATCTTTTAACCTAAAGTATTAGAAATATTTCTAATATTCAGTAGCTTAAGTTTCCACAGAGGAGAAGGAGATCTCGTGAAACATTGTTGGTTCTAGATTCAGTGAAGAGGCACTTTGGTATAATTGAACTGAGAAATTAAGTTCCGTAAATGTGCATATTTCTTACCTATTTATACAAATATTACAGGCATTTAACCTTTTAAGAATCTAACGCAAACATGCCATTCGAACCCTTCGTGCTTGATAGTCAAGCTATATGGTTGTTAACTCGTTCAAAGACGAAGTATGTTATTTGCAAGAAAACACGTGGAGAAAAAAGTAACCTATGAGTCTAAAAATTTTAAAAGACAAGTTCTGTTTTTTGCAATGACGGCAACTATGCATATGTAGCCATGATTTACCTTAATTCAGATTCATGAAAGTCTGGCGCATATGCAGTTTTGCGAATCTAGTATCGTCATAATAACAGTAAAAGAATAAAAGTCTTTAATTATTTTTCCGAATTTACGAAGCTTTATAATTCATTAGATGTTGCGTAAGATAAGATTTTTGGCATTCCTCATTCCGTTAGACTTAACAACACTACGAGTTCAACTCAACCGCCAAGCAAGGCCCAGGGTTCAATCCCTGTTCTCGCACCTTGGAGACATTGTTCTCGCACCCCTGCCACCGCCCTCCGGCGGCGCTGATCGTCGATTTTCTACCTACCAGTCACACGGGCTGCCCGTCGCCTAAGGACATTAGCCAGTAAACCCGGGACGCTATCCCTATAGGGGGACATGAGACGCCACCACGGATTACTAGAGCCTTGAGCTAGGACGTACAGAACCACGGAAGCGACCTTTCCGGGGTCTTTAAAACCCCAAGGTTCATTATTTGTGCACTCGTCCCCGTGGCCAAGAGTGCTTAGCCAGTAGCTTCGCAGAGTTCTCAAAGGTCCCAATCACATTATGTGTCGGTTACACGGAACTTGACGTCGAAAGGGACAATTCGCAGAACCCTCACAATTCCAGGAAACACACGTAGCTAGGTTAGCATTCTCACTTGCTACAAAGAGTTGAACGCCAAACAGTAATCGGTTATCGCTCAAATCGGGATCTCGTGATCCTTCAGAACTTTCGTCTGATTGGTTGTCTCTACCTGGGACCCGAGACATTTTCGGTGAGGCTGGAAAAAATTCCGTGTAGCCGCAACATTGCTGCCGTAGCTAGGCGGGATTTCGCTTCACGCGGGACTCTTTTTTCTAGGAATACCCCCTTTAACCCAGTGCTACCAGAATCTCGTTTCTCAGAAAAGTACCGTGTAGCAGGGACTGTAGCCATGTGTGATAACCTCTTAAGGTTACTCCTGGGGAGGAAGTTGCCTAAATTCAATACATTGATACGGAAACATTTCAGTGCACATTGAGTCGGTCACATTAGGGCACAGATCACATTGAAAAGATATATAATCCATCATTATTGCAAGAGTAGAAGCGTTGAAAACCTGAAGGGGCGTTGTGTGCAAAATTTTAAAAAGTAGTTATCCAAAAAAGGTTTGAAAAATATGCGTTAGTCTGTCAGGTATCATCGATGCGGCCAGACAAAATGTCAGTGTTTCAAAATTAATGCCGTTTTACGCAACGTATTTTTTTTTTTTCTATAACATAGCGCAGCTTTTGTAGTTTAGCTTCACAAGGTTTTTCTCCCTTCTTACAGCATGCCTTCGTTGGTGTAACCAGTAGCACACTCGGAGAGAATTCGTGAGGTTCAGGCTCGAGTCCCGGTGAGGAAAATGCTCAGTGTTTTTCCATGTCTCCAGCTTCAGATAAAACCTAATGACTCTACAATGGCACCCGAATGAAAAGGTGGTGATTGATGATTCTTCACCACCACGATTTAGCGATTGGATTCCTTAATCCCCAGTCGACCTTTTAAGCCCCGTTCACATGCAACGCTCTTTCGCGCAGCCATCGTTCATATCAGGGAGAAGTGGGGTTACCAAGCAGTTTCGCCTTCAGGACCCGTTCAGACGCACATCGTCTTCCATCCCTTAACCCATAAGCCACTGCGAGCAGTGATGTCACAAACTTGAATCTGATTGGCGGATTTTGTAGTGTTTGTTTACATCTTTTTCGACATTGTTAATTATCGCTGTAGAACGTTTTCGGAGTTTTCGGCATGGCTCAAGAAAGACTTTCGCTTTTTCTGCAATTATTTTTGCACCTACAGCTGAATATGCGCTGTTTAGAGGGCAGATCGCTACCCAAAAGACGGCGGCTTCGACGAAGGAAAATTATGTGTTCCTTCATAAATGCAACGTTAACGTCACTAGAATTGGCATACCCAGAGCGACGTTTATGGTCCAAAGTGCGATCTTCGGTGTTCTGGGAAAATGTAGTTCTCTCATCATGGGATGATAAGGACTTCAAGGAAAATTTTCGTATTACTCGGTAAGTTATTTCAAAGTTTTTTAATATATATTGCTTTTATGTACAGAAATCTCTCACTTAACAATGTTCTTTGATTCCTGGAAAATGCTTAATGTTAATGTTAATCAAATAAAAAAAGTACCGTTATTCCGCTAGTTATGTATCACCAAATCTTCATATATTTTCTTTAATTAAAGAAAGTTAAATGAAAAGCTCAAAATTATATATTTTCTCATGTATTAGAAGAATTAATTTTTTACTTTATTTAACCAAAAGTTATGTAGAATTATTTGAACATTCTTTTGCTAATTTTCTCTTCATGCTTTTGCAAGTCATTGTCAATAAGATCTGGGCTTTGAATACATTTGAAATTTTGATCCAAATACATCATTTGCATTTTCAACTCTTCAACAGTGAAGAACATTTTCTGCAATTGCTTCATTTTAGTTCTGAAAATGTTTCATTGATCACTCATCTTCATCAAATATACTAACTTTTCATATTATTATTTCAATAATTCCTATTAACCAAGTTTTCTTCATTGCAACCTAATTCATATGTAGTGGCTGCCATTCTTTTGAAATAATGATCTATTATAATTGCAGTAGTTGTTAGCGATGCTGGCTGTTATATCATTGGGCTCAGGTTGGTATGAGTGCTGTTAAGTCTATAGTATGCATGTAGGATACATAAAAATATTTATGTGATGAAAAATTCACTGAAAAGGTTTGGGGAAAAGGGAAGAGGGGGTAGGAGATCTTTGAGAATATTCTTATTTGTATATGAGAATACTTATTTGTTGAAACTGTGCATTGAGATCAGGCACACAAACTGCACAAATGTATATTATTTCATTGTAATTGTAATGTCATAAATCTGTACACTGGGATGCAAAATGTAAAAAAAAAAAAATAGTTGCCATTAATAAACAGAGTTAAGTAAGAGATTTATATATTCATGAATGTTTTTTTAAGATAATTTCTAAACTTTTTCAGATTATTATTATCTGTTCCTGAAATTTATAATATTTTTCAAGATGATATTTAACAAAAGTAAATAATTTTTTATAGCTGTATCATTTTGTTTCTCCTTTGAACATAAGAAACTTTTCATAGTTAATCAGTTATATTTGAATTTATTTCTTACTACAGTTATTGTCCTCCAGCAAACATAAATTATTTTGATACTGAGAATGTTCAACAAGCATTTCAAATTAAGTTAAAATCATTGCGTATGATACATATTAAGTTTGTGCAAAATTTTTGGCAACTAATTTCTTATTTATTTGAAACTGTTTCAATAATAATTTTAAAATTTTAGTGCATTTTATCAAGTCAGTCATTTCGATCTTTTTCAATGCGAAAGCGAGAATTAGCTGAAAATCATAACTTTATACCAGAACAGTTAATGATAACTAGTTATATTCATATTAGTTTAGGATACAACTATATCAAATTAGAGAAAGAATTAGATCGGTACTTTTCCGTTTCGCCGGCGCAATTCTCGTCCAAAATGACTTTGTTGGCGACAACATAGAAGTTATAGTACTGAATGTTACTTGAGAGATAAACAAATCACTATTGTCAGAAATGGAATTCATTTGTCAGATACTATACAGAGTTATAAACACCTTTAAACTGAATTTATTAAATTTACTGAAATGCAATGATGGATTAAAACAGATATTAATTATCCACATGTATTCCAGGGAATTTTTTCACTATTTTATTTTCAATAATCCATACTGTTCATTGTCTACAAAACAGAAGCTCATAAATAACAATATCCAATTGTGAAATTCATTCAGAAAGCACATTTCAAAAAGAAGTTTATCATTTTTCTTCATTAAATTTTTAGAGTTCCTAAATTTTAAAAAAAATGTATCTTTCTGTCTAAAACATTAGATTTAACATATAAAATTACTATTGCACTGGGTTCATCAATATATGAAATAGGGATTTCATATACTTTTTAATGAGATGCTAAGAATGCTTTTCACCCTCAACTAATAGACATGAAAGAGTTCAAAAATAGCAAGACAGTTCTGGTTTTAATTTGCAAAACCAAAATAAAACAGCCATAATTTGCAATCAAAAAAGTCAGATGTACATTAAACTGTTATCCCCTAATCAAATTTTTAAGTGAAAATGTATGCTTTATTTTATTCATATGTTTTAGGAATTTTTTATAAAAGTAACTGTTTTGTTTCATTTCTTATCTTATAGGACTACTTTCAACTACATCTGCAGCAAGTTGCGATCTCAACTAGTCAAAAAGCATGTAGTGAGAAAACCTATATCTGTAGAAAGAAGAGTGGCAATAGCTCTTTCGAAGTTAGGTTCCTGTGGAGAGCTAAGAACCATTTCAAATTTATTTGGAGTGGCTCGCTCTACTGCTTGCACTATTGTTGCTGAAGTCTGCAGTGCACTGAGCAAAGAATTCAAAATTACTTTCCCACAAAATGATGACCTACAAATGATAGCCCAGGGATTTTATGATAATGGTGGATTACCTGGTTGCTGTGGAGCTGTAGATGGATCTTACATCCCGATTAAAGCTCCAAACAAGTGTGGGAAAGATTATTTTTGCCGAAAGCAGTTCTTCAGCATAATTTTGCAAGCAGTTGTCGATGATAGACTGCGTTTTATAAATTTGAATGTTGGATGGCCTGGTTCGGTCCATGATGCTCGAGTATTAAGAAATTCCAATTTGTTTAGAGCAGGTCAAAGCAATAAACTCTTTTCACCTACAAATATAAGGCTAAGAAACCATAATGGCAATGTAAAGCCATTTCTTGTGGGTGATCAGGCATACCCATTACTAAATTGGCTTATAAAGCCTCATAGAGGTCATTTAAATGCCGAAAGAGCTCTTTTTAATAAGAAATTGAGTACTTCCCGCATTAATGTAGAACATGCTTTCGGTCAGCTAAAGGGAAGATGGAGATGCCTTCTGAAAGAAAATGACAGTAATGTTGAAAATGTAAAATCACAAGTGTTGGCATGCTGTCTTATGCATAACATATGTATTACACTAGATGATGAATTCCTCGATGACTGGCTGATACTGGATGACGAAAATTCAGATGTATCTTTAGAAGAAGATAATCTGTCGATTTCTGGAGAAAACCTCACTGGAAATCTAGACAGTCTTGTATCTGGAGCAGATGTTCGAGATTTCCTAATGCAGAATTTGTGAAAACTTGTAATTTTAAATGTTCTAATTTTAAATGTACATATTTTTCTTATATACCAAATTATTGATTTTGGTTAATAAATTAAATGAATTCCTGGTATAATTTGCATTAGAAGTTTTAAATTTTTACAAAAGTGTTTAGGCGTCTATTAAACGAAAAACTGTGTTCAGCAAATATATGTTCGAATTAAAAAATTATCACCTATACAACATACATAAATTGTGGCATAACACCTTACTTTGTTATTTATAAAAATATTTAATTTATGACTACTACATAACTTAAGTAAAAAAACTAAAATGCACATATATTGAAAAGTTTTAAAATTAAGCAATGAAAATTTAAGAATTTCAAAGTTAAAAATTATTTATTTATTCGCTATTTTTTCTAATATATCTAACAATTTTTCTCTGAAGACTCTATTTTCTTCAGAAATCTTCTCTTCCATTTCCCTTTCAAATTGCAGAAATTTATCTACAGTTGTTTCAATGGTTTTTTCTATCACATCCTTCAGATTTTTCTTCCGTCGCCGGGAAGAACGTTGCCCATTCAATGAAGCTGTCAAGTAACAGAAAGATATAAAAATTATTAAATATTTAAATACATTTCATTGAAAAATACTAATATACAAAGCAAAGATTATTCAGAAATTTATTCCTTTTCCCTGAAGTGCCTGAATAGGGGGGAGTGACTGAGTGAGTGATTATGGCGCAAAAACCAAAGATGATTATAACGCGCCAAACACAATTGGGATGATTACAATTGATAACATTAAAATTCAATAAATAAAAGCAAGTAGACAAATGTACCAATCCAGAGGATGAAGTCATATAAACAAAAGTTAAAAGCACATATTAAATTCAAGACACAGTTTTCAAAACAAATTACATTTGGTAATAAAAGCCAGTCTCTTTTAAATAATAAAATAAATTACAATTGACCTCTCTTCCGATTAAACGGTCGAGAGGTAAGTCACAGCTATTAAAATATTTCTGACGAAGACTGTTAAAACAGGGACACTCAATTAAAATATGACGAACAGATAGACAAACATTACAATATGAACAAACAGGTTCATTCTCAGCTTTTAAAAGGTAGTTATGTGTCACTCTAGTGTGACCAATTCTGAGGCGAGTCAAAAGAACTTCCTCCTTACGATTTTTAGTTAATTCCCAATGCTCAATTCTAGGCTTTACATGTCTTAACTTTATTTTGAAGCTGAACATCCCAAAGTTGCTGCCATTTTTTTCGGATCTTCTCTTTGACTACACAACAGATGTCTCCAAAAGGGATGAGGCGACTGGACAGATTCAACAGCACATTTCGCTGCTGTGATATCTGCCAGCTCATTCCCTTTTATTCCCACATGGCCGGGAACCCAGCAGTACAGGATATCATATCCACGACTCGTTAAGTTTATATGTAACTTCAGAATATCCACTATGACTGGATTTTGAGTATGGGAAAAGTTAGAAAAAGCTTCTAATGATTTAAGCGCACTATACAAGAGTCTGTATAAACTATAAAACTTTTTGTGGCAGAGCCTTGAGATGTACAAAAGACTATAATATATCACAGTTAGTTCGGATGTTAAGACAGAGAAAGCATGGTTCAAGCGTCTGCCCTCCATGTGATCTTTAATTACAAATGCCATCCCCACATGATCTTTTGACTTGAACCATCTGTATAGACTGGAATATAACTGCTATATTTGTGCCTGTGCTCAGCGAAGAGTTGTCTGTAAAAATGATCTCGTTAGTGCTTGCCTTCACATGATGCTTAAAAAACATCAAGAAGCTGAATCCGTGCATTTTCCCAAGGTGGGATTTCAAAATTCTGTACTGCTTGGGGGTGCATATCAGAGAGGGAAAGTTCCTCAATGACAGGCGAACTCTTAAAAGAAAGGTAGGAACACAGGATGGACGTGTTTCAAATAATGTGTTACACACATTATCAAGTAAGCACAGCTTATTGGGATGTTCAGGTTGGGATAGAATATTAAAATATTGCAAAAGGGACAATTGCTCACGCCTCAGATAAAGTGATGGTTCGTTACAGTCAACATACAGGCTCTGGACAGGAGAAGTCCTGAAAGCTCCTGAACAAATCCGCAGAGCTTGATGGTGAACAGGATCCAGTTTTAACAAAACTGATGACCGAGCGGATCCATAAACAACTGAGCCATAGTCCAGTCTGGAGCGAACAAGCGCTCTGTAAATGCGAAGCATAGAGCAACGCTCTGCACCCCAGGAGGTGTTCGCCAACACTTTTAAAATATTTAGTGTTTTTAGACACTTCTTTCTCAGGTTTAAAACATGAGAAAGGAAAGTCAATTTCTGGTCGAACGTCACTCCTAAAAATTTTACTTCAGGCGCAACTGGAATAATTGTACCATTCAGATATAACTCAGGTTCAGGATGGAGACCTCGCTTCCTACAAAAGTGTACGCACACAGTTTTCTGTTTCGAAAAAGTAAATCCCTGTTTGTCTGACCATTCTTGGATCTTATTCAGAGCCATCTGCAATTGCCTCTCTATGTATCTCATGTCTGCTCCTCGACAGCTAATCTGTAAATCATCTACATATAGAGATCCCAAGATGGTGGGAGGAAGTTCTTTTAATACAGAATTTATTTTTAAACTGAAAAGCGTTACACTAAGAACACAGCCTTGAGGCACACCCTCTTCCTGTTGAAAAACATCCGAAAAAACAGAGCCAATCCTTACTTGAAAAGTTCTAGCGTTCAAGAAATTCTGAATGAAAATTGGAGCCACTCTCGTGAAGATCGCGAAGTATACCGTATCTCCATGCCTTATAAGCTTTCTCAATGTCAAAGAATATTGAGACAAGGTGACTTCTTTTGACAAAAGCTTTTCGAATAGATGTCTCTAACAGGAGCATATTATCTACGGTCGTTCTTCCCTTTCGAAAACCGCTTTGATAAGGCGATATAATATTATTCTTTTCCAAGAAGTAGACTAGGCGGCTGTTTACCATCTTTTCAAACAGTTTGCATACACAACTGGTAAGGGCAATTGGCCGATAGTTGGCAGGATTCCTTGGATCTTTCCCTGGCTTAGCAATAGGAATGACAACAGCTCTCCTCCATGCACTGGGAAAAATACGCTCCTTCCACACTCTATTGTAAAGAGTGAGAAGGCGTTTCAGTGACTTATAGGACAGATGCTTTAGCATTTCGTAATTTACACGCCATCAAAACCCGGAGAAGACCTATGTGTCTGCAATAAAGCTCTCTTTAATTCCAGCCATAGTAAAGTCCTCTATTGTAAGGCTCAGATTTGGAAGAGTTGAATGCGATGGGATTTATTTCAGAGTGTTGCTTGATAGAGAGAAATGCAGGTGAATAGTTTCTGCTGGAAGAAACGGCAGCAAATGTCTCACCAATAGTATTTGCAATTTCTTCTATGGAGCTAATCACTCGGCCATCTTTTTCCAAAAAGGAAAGTGAGTGGTCTTTATATATTCCGCATGCTTTTCGAACTCTTTCCCAAACCCGCTTACTAGGCGTAGAGGATGTTATTGAGGACACATATGAAATCCAGGAATCCCTCTGGCTCTGCCTTCTTACTTTTCGTGCATTTGCTTTGGCTCTTTTAAATGCTATGAGGTTTCGCAGAGTAGGATATCTGCGAAAAATACCCCATGCTTTTTTTCTATTTTTTCAGTGCTTCATGACAGTCGCGATTCCACCACGGTTTCGAATATTTTAGTATTTTTCCTGATGTTCTAGGAATGGAGAGCATAGCTGCCTGAGCAAATAGTAGTTGTAACTGCTTCCACTCCATCATCGATAAGCACATCTTCTACCATTTTCTGTGTGAGATCTGCAGAGGAAGAGAAGAGTTCCCAGTCTGCCCTATCCAGTATAAACCGAGGGAGTCTCGACATGGGGTTCGCTCCTCTTCGTGCAAGAGATAAAAGAATGGGATAATGATCGCTGTTAAACAGATCACTTCCGACACTGAAATCGCAAAATGGCAATAGAGATGGTGAACAGATGGCTAGATCAAGAGCGTGGAATGTCCTTGTAGGTTCATGGAAGTAAGTGTCCTGCCCATTATTCAGGAGACAAAGGCAATGGTCTTCAATTACCTGCTCAATTTGTCTTCCTCGTGAATTGGTGTCTTTGCTTCCCCACAACGGACTATGGCCATTAAAATCACCCATTATGATAAAAGGCTCAGGCAGCTGAGCACTACAAGGTCATTTAAATCCCGCTGATCAATGTGTTCGTTAGGAGGCAAATAAAGAGAAACGACTGAAACTACAATATGAAAATTTACTTGTACAGCGACAACTTGGAGAGATGTCGTCAAAGGAAAGGAACTTGAGGGATAGTCCAGTGAGGTAAGGAGACATACACCTCCACTGGCACGTTCACCTGCAAGGTTATCCTTCCTGACGAGAGAAAACCTCCGAAGTTTTGCATGTTGATCTGGTTTCAGATTTGTCTCTTGTATTGCCAAGCACACAGGATGATACGCATTGATCATAGCTTTGATGTCAAGTAAATTTCGGTGGAAACCGCGACAGTTCCATGAGACGAGGGTGGCCATTATGTTTGATGTTTGTTCTTTCTGTGTTCCTTTTTAGTTTTGCGCGGAAGCAGATGTTCGGGAACTTCTAGACCGTCTTCCACGTCCATACTATCTGAATCTGCGGATTCAGAAATCGTTTCATTTACAGAACTATTGCTGGGACTTCTATTTTTGTTAATTGGTTTTGGAGGGATATGTTTTGGTGTGCTTTGAATAACTATTTCTTTATTTTGTACGACATGTGTTGCATTTTCCTTTTTCTTGTTTGCAGATTGCTGGGTTTTATTTGGTGGAGTCTGTGTACTTATGGAAGTTTGGGTGGCTATAGTGCGGGTTGATTTCACGGCATTGGCATATGATTTGTTTGATTGAGGCTGTGTGCTTTGAACTTGTCTTCCTGGCTTCGGCATATGAAATGTTCCTAGAAACTTTTATGGTCTGAACTTCCTTTTCTAATTTCCATTTTGGACAGGAACGGGAAAATGCTGGATGGTTGCCCTTGCAATTAACACACAGTGCCGCAGCAGGTGCAATTTTCGCTGTCGTGGCCAACCAACGAACACCGAGCGCACGTCAGGGTCCCACGACAGGACATCTTCGAATGGCCAAAACGCTGGCACTGGAAACATCGCATAGGGTTTGGAATGTATGGACGACAGGACAATTGAGGTATCCAGCCTTAATATTCTTAGGCAGATCAGGTGATTTGAAGGTCAGGATCACGTGTTTGGTGTCAATCAACTGACCTTCCTTACGCATCTTGATCCGCCTAGCGCCACAGACATTTTGGTCAGCTAACTCGGAAACGAACTCTTCTTCTGAAACAGAGAGAAGGTCGATTTCCGAGATAACACCTGTACAAAAATTCAGAGTTTTATGCCTGGAAAAAAGGTTTAACAAAATTCACAAAGCTATTAGTCATTTATACATTCATTTAAGACAAAGCAAATGCATTTATTTATACTTTGGGGAGTGAACTCCGAAAAACAAACACTGGGGTAAAATTTGTCCCGCGCGTGTACTAACGTAGCGCAGTGGGCGCGTGTGCTGAAGGGTTAATAAGATGCTAAGAATGATTTTCGCCCTTAACTAATAGACATGAAAGAGTTCAAAAAGAGCAAGACAGTTCTGGTTTTAATTTGCAAAACCAAAATAAAACAGCCATAATTTGCAACCAAAAAACGTCAGATGTACATTAAACTGTTATCACCAAATCAAATTTTTAAGTGAAAATGTATGCATGATTTTATTCATATGTTTTAGGAATTTTTTATAAAAGTAACTGTTTTGTTTCATTTCTTATCTTATAGGACTACTTTCAACTACATCTGCAGCAAGTTGCGATCTCAACTAGTCAAGAAGCATGTAGTGAGAAAACCAGTATCTGTAGAAAGAAGAGTGGCAATAGCTCTTTCGAAGTTAGTTTCCTGTGGAGAGTTAAGAACCATTTCAAATTTATTTGGAGTGGCTCGCTCTACTGCTTGCACGATTGTTGCTGAAGTCTGCAGTGCACTGAGCAAAGAATTCAAAATTACTTTCCCACAAAATGATGACCTACAAATGACAGCCCAGGGATTTTATGATAATGGTGGATTACCTGGTTGCTGTGGTGCTGTAGATGGATCTTACATCCCGATTAAAGCTCCAAACAAGTGTGGGAAAGATTATTTTTGCCGAAAGCAGTTCTTCAGCATAATTGTGCAAGCAGTTGTCGATGATAGACAGCGTTTTATAAATTTGAATGTTGGATGGCCTAGTTCGGTACATGATGCTCGAGTATTGAGAAATTCCAATTTGTTTAGAGTAGGTCAAAGCAATAAACTCTTTTCACCTACAAATATAAGGCTAAGAAACCATAATGGCAATGTAAAGCCATTTCTTGTGGGTGATCAGGCATACTCATTACTTAATTGGCTTATAAAGCCTCATGGAGGTCATTTAAATGCCAAAAGAGCTCTTTTTAATAAGAAACTGAGTACTTCTCGCATTAATGTAGAACATGCTTTCGGTCAGCTAAAGGGAAGATGGAAATGCCTTCTGAAAGAAAATGACAGTAATGTTGAAAATGTCAAATCACAAGTGTTGGCATGCTGTCTTCTGCATAACATATGTATTACACTACATGATGAATTCCTCGACGACTGGCTGATACTGGATGACGAAAATTCACATGTATCTTTAGAAGAAGATAATCTGTCGATTTCTGGAGAAAACCTCACTGGAAATCTAGACAGTTTTGTATCTGGAGCAGATGTTAGAGATTTCCTAATGCAGAATTTGTGAAAACTTGTAATTTTAAATATACATATTTTTCTTATATACCAAATTATTGATTTTGGTTAATAAATGAAATGAATTCCTGGTATAATTTACATTAGAAGTTTTAAATTTTTACAAAAGCGTTTAGGCGTCTATTAAACCAAAACTGTGTTCAGCAAATATATGTTCGAATTAAAAAATTATCACCTATATAACATACATAAATTGTGGCATAATACCTTATTTTGTTATTTAGAAAAATATTTAATTTATGATTTCAAACTTTATAAAACAGTAACTGAATTTTAGCAAGAAATAAAATTTCAAAGTTAAAAATTATTTATTTGTTCGCTATTTTTTCTAATATATCTAGCAATTTTTCTCTGAAGACTCTATTTTCTTTAGAAATCTTCTCTTCCATTTCCCTTTCTAATTGCAGAAATTTATCTACAGTTGTTTCAATGGTCTTTCCTATGACATCCTTCAGATTTTTCTTCCGTCATCGGAAAGAACGTTGCCCATTCAATGAAGCTGTCAAGTAACAGAAAAATATAAAAATTATTAACTATTTAAATACATTTCATTGAAAAATACTAATATGCAAAGCAATGATTATTCAGAAATTTATTCCTTTTCCCCTGAAGTGCCTGAATAGGGGGGTGAGTGACTGAGTGAGTGATTATGGCGCAAAAACCAAAGATGATTATAACGCGCCAAACACAATTGGGATGATTACAATTGATAACATTAAAATTCAATAAATAAAAGCAAGTAGACAAATGTACCAGATCCAGAGGATGAAGTCATATAAACAAAAGTTAAAAGCACATATTAAAATTCAAGACACAGTTTTCAAAACAAATTACATTTGGTAATAAAAGCCAGTCTCTTTTAAATAATAAAATAAATTACAATTGACATCTCTTCCGATTAAACGGTCGAGAGGTAAGTCACAGCTATTAAAATATTTCTGACGAAGACTGTTAAAACAGGGACACTGTTTATATGACGAACAGATAGACAAACATTACAATATGAACAAACAGGTTCATTCTCAGCTTTTAAAAGGTAGTTATGTGTCACTCTAGTGTGACCAATTCTGAGGCGAGTCAAAAGAACTTCCTCCTTACGATTTTTTGTTAATTCCCAGTGCTCAATTCTAGGCTTTACATGTCTTAATTTATTTTGAAGCTGAACATCCCAAAGTTGCTGCCATTTTTTTCGGATCTTCTCTTTGACTACACAACAGATGTCTCCAAAAGGGATGAGGCGACTGGACAGATCAACAGCACTTTTCGCTGTGATATCTGCCAGCTCATTCCCTTTTATTCCCACATGGCCGGGAACCCAGCAGTACAGGATATCATATCCACGACTCGTTAAGCTTATATGTAACTTCAGAATATCCACTATGACTTGATTTTGAGTATGGGAAAAAGCTTTTAATGATTTAAGCGCACTACAAGAGTCTGTATAAACTATAAACTTTTTGTGGCAGAGCCTTGAGATGTACAAAAGACTATAATATATCACAGTTAGTTCGGATGTTAAGACAGAGAAAGCATGGTTCAAGCGTCTGCCCTCCATGTGATCTTTAATTACAAATGCCATTCCCACATGATCTTTTGACATTGAACCATCTGTATAGACTGGAATATAACTGCTATATTTGTGCCTGTGCTCAGCGAAGAGTTGTCTGAAAATAATCTCGTTAGTGCTTGCCTTCACATAATACTTAAAAACATCAAGAAGCTGAATCCGTGCATTTTCCCAAGATGGGATTTAAAATTCTGTACTGCTTGCGGGTGCATATCAGAGAGGGATAGTTCCTCAATGACAGAGCGAACTCTTAAAAGAAAGGTAGGAACACAGGATGGATGTGTATCAAATAATGTGTTACACACATTATCAAGTAAGCACAGCTTATTGGGATGTTCAGGTTGGGATAGAATATGAAAATATTGCAAAAGGGACAATTGCTCACGCCTCAGATAAAGTGATGGTTCGTTATTGTCAACATACAGACTCTGTACAGGAGAAGTCCTGAAAGCTCCTGAACAAATCCGCAGAGCTTGATGGTGAACAGGGTTTAGTTTTAACAAAACTGATAACCGAGCGGATCCATAAACAACTGAGCCATAGTCCAGTCTGGAGCGAACAAGCGCTCTGTAAATGCGAAGCATAGAGCAACGTTCTGCACCCCAGGAGGTGTTCGCCAACACTTTTAAAATATTTAGTGTTTTTAGACACTTCTTTCTCAGGTTTAAAACATGAGAAAGGAAAGTCAATTTCTGGTCAAACGTCACTACTAAAAATTTTACTTCGCGCGCAACTAGAATAATTGTACCATTTAGATATAACTCAGGTTCAGAATGGACACCTCGCTTCCTACAAAAGTGTACGCACACAGTTTTCTGTTTCGAAAAAGTAAATCCCTGTTTGTCTGACCATTCCTGGATCTTATTCAGAGCCATCTGCAATTGCCTCTCTATGTATCTCATGTCTGCTCCTCGACAGCTAATCTGTAAATCATGTACATATAGTGATCCCAAGATGGTGGGAGGAAGTTCTTTCAATGCAGAATTTATTTTTTAACTGAAAAGCGTTACACTAAGAACACAGCCTTGAGGCACACCCTCTTCCTGTTGAAAAACATCCGAAAAAACAGAGCCAACCCTAACTTCAAACGTTCTAGCGTTCAGGAAATTCTGAATGAAAATTGGTAGGTTTGCTGGCAAGCCACTCTCGTGGAGATCGCGAAGTATACCGTATCTTTCATAAGTTTTCTCAATGTCAAAGAATATTGAGACAAGGTGACTTCTTTTGACAAAAGCTTTTCGAATAGATGTCTCTAAAAGATGCATATTATCTACGCTCGTTCTTCCCTTTCGAAAACCGCTTTGATAAGGTGATATAATATAATTCTTTTCCAAGAAGTAGACTAGGCGGCTGTTTACCATCTTTTCAAACAGTTTGCAGAGGCAACTCGTAAGGGCAATTGGCTGATAGTTGGAGGGATTCCTTGGGCCTTTCCCTGGCTTAGCAATAGGAATCACAACAGCTCTCCTCCATGCACTGGGAAAGGTACGCTCCTTCCACACTCTATTGTAAAGAGTGAGAAGGGCGTTTCAGTGACTTATAGGACAGATGCTTTAGCATTTCGTAATTTATGAGATCAAAACACGGAGAAGACTTATGTGTCTGCAATAAAGCTGTCTTTAATTCCAGCATAGCAAGTCCTCTATTGTATGGCTCAGATTTGGTAGAGTTGAATGCGATGGGGTGAGTGAGTGAGTGAGTGAGTGAGTGATTATGGCGCAAAAACCAAAGATGATTATAACGCGCCAAACACGAGATCAGGATGATTACAATTGATGCCATTAAATTCAATAAATAAAAACAAGTAGACAAATGTACCAGATCCAAAGGATGAAGTCATATAAACACAAGCTAATAGCACACATAAAAATTCAAGACACAGTCTTCAAAACAAATTACATTTAGTAATAAAAGCCAGTCTCTTTTAATTAATAAAATAAATTAAATACACAAATTTAAATAATTAAATTTTAAATTTAAATACATAAATTACAATTGAACTCTCTTCCGATTAAACGGTCGAGA